CTCTCTCTCTCTCTCTCTCTCTCTCTCTCTCTCTCTCTCTCTCTCTCTGGTATAATAATCTGGTATAATAAACTTGTTAATGTTTGCATCTCACTTCCACATTTGCTCTGCTCTGATACTATTGGTTTGCATCTCACTGCCACATTTGCTCTGCTCTGATAGTATCGGTTTGCATCTCACTTGAACAATTTTTTTTTTTTAACTGTAACAATCGACTACTACTCTTTTGTGTCGCACGTCGAATGGTAGACGGCTTTTGTTTCAAAAGCAAACAAAACACAACCATCTCTGCTGCCTCACGAAAACCAAAGTAAGTAATTTGCCATTTCTAAGATTGCATGCAAGACTATTATGAACTTACTAACCTAACACAATAAAATTGTAGTACAAAAATTAATCTTCATACTTCCCTTACGTTCAGAATGCTGCGGCTACAGAACTACTACACGAAATACGTCATCTAAAAAAGATTATTGTCCCACAACACATTTTCATTTATTCAGCCATGTTAAATAGCCCCACCACCACCAAAATTAAAAAGAAAAAAAAAATAAAATATATCTAAATAAATGATGCTCCATCGCCACTAGATCTTAAAGAGAGACCACAGATAAAAGAAATTACCTCAAAGCTCATCTTTAACGCTAATCGAAGATACATGAAGTTGTTTCACTCCATCAATCTTATGCTCTTCTAGAAGAAATCAAATTTTATAGCCTATTTTTTACTGAATAAACCATTAAAATTAACCCATAAATAATACCAAAGAAAGAATTAAAGAATATATCAAGAAAATAAGTACCGGATCAAAATGATGGAAATCTTTCTTCTACCTCTCCATAAAAACTTTTAAAGGTGGTTAATCACATTCAACCAATGCTTATGCTTAAGCTTAACAATATGAAGAGCTCTTCGTTCATATATACTAAAACTTCTATTATCGATAAAATATAATCAATCAATAAAATCATTTCTTTCAGATCGATAAGTATATTAGGAGTTTATTCCTAATTAGATTCAAGCTAGTCGAAGGAGTCCCTATTAGATTTAAACTTATAATACTAACACCAACTCTATTTAAGATAGAAATTTTTTAATATTATTATTGATGAGTGTTACTGTAAAAATAAATTATTCAAATTATCTCTTCGATAGGGATGATCGCATGAGATAAAAAGGATGATATGAGTATCGTGGAATCATGTAATTCTCTTTCTTAAAGAAATTGTTTGAAATGATTACTCTGAAAACCAAGTCCATTAACTCATAATATTGTTATTGTTAGTAATTAACTTAACCATGTCATTAGAAACCTAATAAACTCTGTTTTTCTAGATGAGATGGTTATTTCTATTAGGTTTTGAATAGACTTACAATGTTTTGGTAGAAATACCAAAGTCACTTTAAGCCTATTCAAAAGTATTATAATAAATAAGATAAATATTATAAATGATATATCGGATCGTTTCATCATATGGACTGGACCAGTGTGACTACGTATGTATTACTCCAAGTATGAAGTGTTTCGATGATTATAGCAAATGGCAAATGGGATGTGCCATCTTAGAAAATATGAAAATTGTACCCCATTAGTTGTCACCTTCTTCTTTTTTTTTTCTTTCTAATTTAACTTTTAAACTGATATTTAACTAATGAATCGACTGAATTGGTCTATAAATCAATGTTCTTCTTTATAAGCCTAACTTAATTCAAAGGCAGTGTAATTATTAGAAAAAAAAATCTTTTCTGACATGATAATAATAGGTCTATGATTTCTTTCCCTCTCTCCACACTTAAATTTATATTGAAATGATTTCCCTTTGTTAGGGTTTATAAAAATATTACGATTTATCAACAATTTAAAACTAATAAGAACTGATTTTTTTGGTTACTTTTTTTTTATTCTCCAATATTAAAACTCAAAATATAAAATTATTAAAAAAAATAAAGAAATATATTAAAATAATTTAAAATTGATTGGGTTTTGGCCCAAATGAATAGCAAAGAACAATTTTTTAAATAATTCAGGGTGACCAAATTACCTTACAAGATGTTAGATGAGGTAGTGGATGGGAACATTTTAGATATACTCCTAGAAAAATATGTATAAATAAATTAAAAAATAATCCATCCATAATAAATTATAAATTGAGTTGTTGGGTGTAAGTGAATATTTAATATCAAGGAAAAGGATAATTACAAGGCTCACTTGGTGGCTAAGAGATATAGTAAGTATTGATTATAAAGATATTTTTTCTTAACATACTTCTATCAAGTCTTACTAGCCTTTGTAGCGACACTAGATCTAGAGTCAAAGTAAGTCAAAGTAGCTTAGATATGAATATGATATTTCTTTACAGAGACTTCAAAGAAGAGATCGACATAGAATAATTAGAATGATTTGAGAAAAAAAAAAAAAGGGAAGGAGAACTAATTTTGCTTATTGAACAAGTCCCTCCATCAAACAATCTCGAATGCAATGATATAAATGCTTTAATCAATTTATACTTAAACTTTGGATATAGTAGATCACTTTACGATAACCATGCATATTCAAAAAGGATAAACAAATTTATAATATATTTATTGTTGTACATTGATGATATTTTTTTTATTGCATGAGATAAGTCTAAAAAAGACAAGCTTAAAAATTCACTTCAAAGGAAGTTTGAAACCAAGGACTTGGGGGTGACGAAAAGAATACTTGGTGTAGAGATTCATATCAAGAAGTTGAACTTATCCTAAAAGATGCATATAAAGAAAGTAGTGGAATGATTTAGCATGCAATCTTTAAGGATTGTTTGTCCTCCACTAATCGCACACTTAAAATTGTTAAAATCATTATCCCGAAGATGAACAAAAAGTATAAGAAATAAAAAATATATATATATTTCTTATACAAATGTACGTCGTGGTCTATACATGCCTTAATCTTACTCATGCTATCAAGACAGTGAACCGATGTATGACAAATCCAGGAAAGACTCATTGGAAGCTATTAAATAGGTTTTTGATATGATTTAGGAACCTAAAACTTATTTAGTTTTTGGAAGAACTAATGTCTAACTTGTAGGTTTTTCAAATTCTGACTATGTTTGGGATCTTAACAAAAGAAGATTAATTATCGAGCTCTAATCTATTACTGCACTTTCAACCATCTAAGCAAAATACATAACAATAACTGAAGTGAAAGAGGTAATTTGACTGAGAAATTTGGTAAAGAAATTTACAAATAAAAAAGTAGACGTCATCATGCATAGCGACAGTCAGAGCACGATTTTTCTGTCAAGAATGATAGAACCAAACACATTGATGTCATGTATCATTTTATTCATAAATCAATTACTAACAAGGAAATTTTTCTTCACAAAATTGATACAGCTCACAACCCGACAGATATGCTGATGAAACTGTTTCGTTTGGCTAAATTCAAGCACTGTTTTAATTTGATTTGATCAACCTGCAAAGAGCTTTAGCTAATGCCCTATGGAGTATTTGGGTAAAGAGAAGAGGAGAATTTGTGGGAATCGACTAAAATTGAGTTAGATTTGGGCTCGAACCAAATCAACTAGAAATGTTGACCGAAGTCAACTTTTCACCGACCCCCACCTGCATTCCACATCGTAGTCGTACCGTGTGCCTGCATTCACACTGCCCTCACGCGAGGGTTTTCACTCCACGTTCCTCATTGCCACAAACGCCCATCGCAGTCACCCTCGTCGCTAGTCTCCCGCTCATGGGACCATGCCGCTCGCCGCAACATATGATCGCACCGGTCACCACGGTCCTCGTTGCACGCAGGTTGCCCTTCTTTTCCATACCTAAGAAAAAGTATAAACAGTTAGGCAAATACAAAGTAATCATCAAAGGTGAACAAAAGCTATCTGGACAACCTCAACTACCTTAATGACAATCTATCAAGATAGGTTTCCCTTTCAATTGGCAGCCACTTGGGAAACTGATCAAGAATCCATGAAATAGCAAACCAGATTTCACAGATGACGGATATAAACCACAATGGATATGCATCAGTTGCAGGGTTGGTGATACGGTAATGGAAGAAGAACCCAACAACTACGAGACGAATTATGATGATCATTCTGTACGGATTTATTTGGCTAGAAGGAACTGGCAGCTTTCTTGACAATGGTTGTCTTGCTTCATCCATTCTATAGAAGACAAATTGAATGGTAAGTTACAGTAATTCTAGTCGAATGTCAAAACTATTCAAGCATGACAACTTCTTTGGATTATAAATAAGCATTATGAGATACAAGCAGGACAATATCTGATGTCACCATTTCCTTGACAATATTAGAAAACAACATTTGACCAAATTTCACATCATAAATTAATAATAGTTGCAGAATCCTGTTGTACATGATAAAATATTCCAAAGTTGTGCCTAGAAAACTCGATTTCATAGCTATAATAAATAGGCCTTGTCAAAGAGATCGAACTTGCTATAATTAATGTATCCTTTCTGTTTTATGGAAAATTAATGTATCGTAACATCTACTCAAGCTATATTCTTGTAATAACTTGTCCAGAGATAGCAACCAGAGTATTATACTTTTCCAACTTTTCTGTAAAGAAAAGTGTTTGCCCCCACTCCATATGGCAACTAGTTTTGGTCACTCACTTCATACTGATGAAGGGCTGTTAATATCAATTTCATTATAAAAGTAAATGATCATTAAATGGAACAAACCCATATCCGTTTGTTATACTGCTAATTATACTAGTTGGTCAGCCTGATTTCCACAAAAATGAACCAAATGTAAGAATTTAGGAGGATCAGGTATCCTAATGTCTTGATGAAAAATCATGAGAAGCAACTACAGCCATGTAAACAAGAACTCGCAAATAATGAAAGAAAAAATTACAGTGAAATTCATGATTTATAACTGGTGCATAAAGTAGCTCTTTTCTTGTCAAACAAAAATTATGGAGTTCTGACATTGTGGAAGTTCTGAGCTAAAACGTACATCAGCAATTGCATCCGAAAGGGAGTTCTAAAACCATCGTAGAACTATTCGAAGATGTATAAACACAAAATATCAGACTTTAGAACTAGAGTAAACCATTGTGAAAATGCTGCTAAAATACAATATTTCAAAGATTACATAAGACATTTAACAGGATTCGAAGCTTACAGTGGTAAATCAGGTTCCTCGTTATCATTATTCCAACCTTTACTACCACCATCATTCCTCATCTTGTGCATTTTCTCTTGCTTTTGCCTCCAATTCTCCATCCGCTCCTTCCAAGCCACGCTTCCATATCCGTAGGTCAAGAGATCCTTAGAAGGATCCAAGGATCTAAGGTGCACTGCACAGGAAAAGATTTGGCATTAATTCCTTGATAAACTAGAAAACATCAAGGATAGACATTGTGATTTCTCATCCTTAGATAAGTAGAATCAAGGTTCGCCGTATCGAGGTATACCACTCGGTATGGGTGGTACATATTGGTCCGACAAGAGGCTTGTAGGAGCGGTACATCGGTATATCCCATCATATCATATGTTGATACATTCAGTTATAGCTCGGTATGTACCGTATCGATAGCTGATCAGTACATTGGTACGAAACGATAAGACGAACCATGAGCAGAATATCCTATTGGTAGTGCAGAATCTGGAATACCTGAAAGATTGGGATCTGAAAAGGGAAGCGGATGAATCTTTTTCCCTCCACCACCCATGAATGAACGAACGAGAGCATGCTGTTCTGGAGGAATGTCATCAACCTGGAAACAAAACGAACTCATCCATCAGTATAGAAGGGTTTTACTGCTCCTGAGGCAATGAGAGTAAGGTGTGAGCACAAGTACCATCTCGCCATTGGTGAGGAGAGGGACTTGAGGCACAGTATGAACCACATAAGGCGTGTTGATGTCACCCTGGTGGCCATAACTCATGTGGGCCTGCAGCATGGCCTCAGCTATGTACTGTGAGTCCTGCTTATCTCCCCTGACGAAGTTGAATTCATTCTCAAGATCACAATGTTATCCTCTTCTTCATCACCAGCCACACGAGGACACCCTGCATAGTGCGGACGACAAAACACAACAAGCTGTCATGAAAGATTAAGGCTAGAGAAATCTACTACGAGAGATTTAGAAGTCATGAAATTATACTAGGGCTTTATTACGAAAAGGATCTAGGCCAGAGAGATGTACTAAGGGTTAACTACAAGAAGAACCAAAGTATAGGTTTTTGTTATAATGCCAATTACAGTGATTGGAACATAATGTGAACCAAATCATACAACCAAGAACCCATGGTGAGGGAAAGCAAATTATAGAGAGATCTACCACAATTTTTAACCAGGAAGGAGGCATTGAGGGCGTGCTTTTAGGTTTCTTACCCTTGAGCCGCTTGAACCTGGTCTTGCACTGGGGGCAAACCTGGTTGCCCTCCCGGCGCTCGTACTCGTAGCAAGTACATGCAAATGGGGAAGGCGCACTCGTTGCAGGCGACGAAGAGATCCCCGTCGACGGTGCGGCCGACGTCGTCGCCGCAGATCTGGCAGATTTGCCCGCTCAGCTGCTGCAGCGGCTTCGGCTGCAGGCGGAGATCGAATCAAAACCTTCTAAC